TGCCGACCGGTCTACCAGACGGGATTCTCTTCTGCCGAGGTCGTCCAGTCTACACATTTATCCCGAAGCGAAAGCTTGTACAAAAGCCAAGCAAGGCCCGTCCAGGCACGCCATTGCCATTGTTGAACCTTGACGCCCGCAGTCAGCTCCCACCGCCTCCGTTTCCCCAAGACGCCCAATTCTCAACAGCCTCGCTCGCAATGGCAGCCAAACCAAAGGCGTTTGCCGAGCCGTCCTCCCCCATCGTCGGGTTCTGCGGCTTCCGCAACATGGACCTGATGCTGCGCGTCTTGTCTGTGATGCTGTGCATCGCGATCCTGGTCGTCGGCGGCGTGGCCACCTCCAGGTCGGGCGTCATACTGATAGGCATCCTCGGCCCTCCGGTGAGTCTTCGCCCTTGTTTGTCCAGAGCACCCCTCTGCGGTCTGGGAAAAGGAAAAAGAAGCAAAGAAAAGAAGCTAACGCGGGCGGCGGCCCCTAGGCGGCGACGTCGATCCTCTGGTCCCTGGTGCAGTTTGGCTTCTCGCTCAGCAAATACGAGTACTTGAACTTCCGGTCGCACTTCCGCATGGCGATTGGCATCGTCATCACGATTGGCTGGGTCGTGGCCGTGATTTGCCTCGGCCTGTTCAGGAGCTGGTGGGCCGACGGCGGCTCGTCCTTTACCTACGCGTCGGACCCGGACGAGGAGAGAGCCGCGGGCGACGTGGTCGTCAGGCTGACGGCTGCTGGGCTGGGCCTCGGCTGTGCTGCGACGTGAGTGCCGGCCTGGCTTGCTCTTTGGTGTTTTTTTTGCTCGCGCTAATCATGTGTGCTGCAGGTTGACGCAGATTGCTATCTGCTGGGTGTCGTTTCGCAGGATGACTCTTCATCCTTAGGGGGAGAGCTGTAAGGGACAGGTGATTGATTCCCAATGTGTTTGGGGGGATTGTCTGGGCGTACGATTGGACTGGCGTTTGTTATGGATCGACGGCGTTGGCGATGCAGATTGGACATGACACCACGACGGATGCGAGTTGCTCACATAAATACCTTGTTGCTTGGCTTGCATGTTTCGCTGGGGTCATTGGTAATTGTCACACGGAAGCAGGGCACCTTCATATTGCGTGATACTTGAGCCAAAAAGAAAGTATTATAGTATATGCCTTCTGTAAAAAGAACGTTCAACTTTATATAATATATATTATTTAATATTTATATATTACGTGGCCCGATACCAAACACAGCTGGTATGCTATATGCTGTGCGACAGTAATTTATAATTCATGTGAGCAATTTCGTTCCCGAGCTAGAGCCATGGCAGATGGGCTGTAGTTAGACACGATTGCTGCCCGTCGTTCTTCTGCACCACGGAGATGGAACGTGTTGGATTCTAGTAAACCGTAGCTGAACACAGCAGCACACTGTAAATTTTATCCCTGGGCTACGTGCTATTTACGTTGGTCAACAGCAAGCCGGCGGTTCGACGAGGCCGCGGAATCACCACGTCCCGACAACATGAACCACATCCCAAGTAACACGGCAGCATCGCCTCCGTGCTCACCCTTTGGCCAGTATTGTCCGCCGACAGCCACATGGCGCAGCACAGAGCTCAACAAGACTCGCAGTCCTGGCCCTATTTTCCGTGTTAGTCTCTGCTGGCGTCCCTCCTCTGAAGACTGATCTCGGCATACCGGAATTTCAACATTGGAGCACTGCGAAGACGGCCCGCTGTTGCAGCAAAATTGCTCGAGGCAGTCGCAGCCAGATCCGCACTAGGTTCTTTAATACCAGGCTGCTCCTTGCAAATATAAAGGGTGGTCACTCACGCTATCCGCTGCTGCAGCAGTGCCGGCAAAGCCAAGGCTGACGAGTACAGTTAGAAGGGTTGAGATGAACTTCATGTTGATCAAGTGAGATTTTTTTCTTTAGAGCTGGGTGTCTGAGTGTTATGCAGAGATGTATTCGTACCTTGGGAAGCAAATTCAAGAGGTATTTATATATTTGTGAATAATATATCCCGTCAAGATATCTGCGGGTGGCAGAGTTGGTCGTCTTTCGGAACATCGCTGGTGGTTTACAGTGTACGGAATGCGTGGAAGAGATGGCGACTGGCCCGTCCCGTTACTCGAATGACTGAAACATTTGGCAATCATGTTAACCGGCTCGGTGAAGGCGCTGAGGTTGCCCTGGCCGTCTGGAGGACCAAGGGCGTTACTGGCAGAGTCTTATCCGTGAGTGAGACAAGCCTGTAGACTTGAGCGAAGGCACGGCTAACACGGCGAGCTTGTGCACTGGCGTTGCGGCTAGCTGAAGAGTATGTTAATAAGGAGGAAGAAAGGAATCTCGGGTCAAACTTTTCTCATCAGCCGTGATGTGACTGTCCTGTCTCTCCTGTGAGTGTCAAAAAGGAAGACAAGATCTCTTCAACAAGGACCGCGTAATGTTATATGGACGGCGTCTCGGCACAATTTCAAGAATGAGCCGCCAAAAGAGTGGCAAAGACGGCACAAAAAAAGCCTTGTCAAGATGCTTGTCCGTGTCTGGGCTTGGCGGTTATGGAGGTTTGTCGTCTTGACGGCCCAATCCCTCCGTACCCCGTGGGCGTCGTCAGTATTGTCAACTCACAGTCTGGTCCATTTCATGGCATCATGATCAAGTTGACCATGGCTGCCTGTCGACCTCACAACATTGGAAGCCTGGCCACTAGGTTGGAGCATGGGCAACAAGGCGCTCTGCTTCCGTGGACCATGCCGTTGTCAGTGTGAATTGCTCGGCGGGCTCACTCTTTTTGCTAGGTGCGCTTACCAGACCCCTCTTGGTAGGTAGGTATTTATTACATTTAAACTTTCTTTATATATTTTTAAGAAATAACTTATAATAAAATATACTATAATATACTATAATATACAGCTTAATATTTAGGTACCTGGTGTTGCGTGAGCGCACCTAGCAAAAAGAGTGAGCCCGCCGAGCAATTTATTTGTCACTTTCGACCAATGCGGCAAGTGGTCAATACCTTGATAGAGGTTCAAAGCAAGGCATCAGTCATAGAATCCGAGCGTTCAATGGTTGATGTCCTTTTAGGCAGGTGCAGTAACCACCAAGTGGGGCGCCTGATGTCATGTGTGTCATGATGCTTCTGGTTTCATCTATATGAATCGCAAGGCATATTCTCCCTTTCAACATTCCCAGCTTTCATCACCCACACGTTCTTCAGACATTACCTGGGCTCTGCAACAGTTAAAAATACATTTCGAGAAGCCGCCTCATCATCATCATCATGGCGCCATCCCTTCAGTCAATCGGCCGTGTTGGCTGGGACCTGCTCATGAAGCAGTGTGGCTCAGACAGCGCTCCTGAGACCGTCATACTTTCGCCGCTATCCATCACCATGGCACTGGGAATGCTTGCTGGCGGAGCAGACGAGTCCAAGAAGCTCGGCTTGTGCACGAAACTTGGTCTCCAAAACGCGGGCGAGCTAGAGTCGGTGCTTCACCCACTGCACACGACCCTTTGCGGCGATGCAAAGGACGGTCCGCTGGCTCTCGCAAACGCCGTCTTTACAGATCAAAGCGTCACCCTCTTTCCCGCTTACCAGAATTTTTTGAAGGGCTTCAACGCGGAACATAAACAGTATCCAAACCTTGCCGAGGCTGCGTCCGACATAAATGCGTGGATCTCAGACAATACACGTGGCTTGATCCGAGACATGTTGTCTCCTGCGAGCCTGACCAACAGCCACTTGGCACTGGTGAACGCCATTGGATTCAAGGGGACATGGCAAACCAAATTTGAACCGCGCGACACTCGCAAAGAGACCTTTTCCGTCACCAAGGATGAACAGACCGAGGTAGACATGATGTACCTGCGCAGCCAACACCTCTCATCCTTGGAAACGTCAACATACAAGGCCGTTCGTTTGCCGTACACACTGCCGGAATCCTACCCATCAACCTCGCTCTTCGCCTATCTGCCCAACGAAGGAACCTCACTCAGCGCCGTTTTGGAGGACATAGTCAGGAATGGTAGCGCGGGCGACCAGTTCACCTCGGTAAAATATGACGAGTTTGGGTTCCCCAAGTTTGAGATTGACAGCAAGTTTTCTCTTGTCGAGACTCTCGAGAAGCTCGACTATCCCATTGGAGGGGCATATACGGAAATGGCAGAGGGCCAGAACCAGGTGCAAACTATTGCCCATCAAGCCTATGTCAAGGTTGACGAGGAGGGTACAGAGGCCTCAGGCGCGACGGCGGTCATCATGACCAGAAGCATGAATTTTGACCCCAAGTTTTTGGTCTTTAACAGGCCGTTTGTTTTCGCCATTGCCAGTGACAAGCCGGATGCAATCTTGTTTGCGGGCATCTATTCCGGTAAATAGTCTAGCGTCTCTCAATCCAAACTGTGTGTATCGCTGGCTCCGTCTGACGTTTGCATCTTGATGGTTACTTCGAGGCTCACAGTTCAAGTTGTGTAGTGTATATGAGGCAGTATGAATGTCTGCCGGTGACCGTGTAAGCAAGCAAGCCGAGGCCGGCAAAACAGAACTTACGGAGCCTGATTCCCTAACTGGAATTTGTGAATCAATTTAATGTTGCCTTATTCTGGTGGGGGGCCTCATCCAGCGAGCGCCCTTTGCGTACACATCCCGTTATGAACTGCTGCCGCGACGTGCCGGCGTCTTCCATTTCCTACAGCCTTCTCTCCGAAAACAAGATAAATCCATGGTGAAACTGATTAGTGCTCGAAACCATTTGTCTTCTGCCTAACGGGCACTGCCACACGACGAACAGGCTTCCAGTGCCAAGGGATTAGGTCCAGATGTCATAGAACCAGTCACTTGTATTCGTCGACAGGCAACAATTAGCCTCCCCCGATACTATCACATCATGACATCATGCGGAAGATAGCTTGCGCTGGATCGCATCGTCAGGTCCGTGAAAACAACCCAAATCGATTTCTATTATAACCCACATGACAAGTTGCTAACTTTTGCCCCAGCCCAAAGATTGGCTTTGAGCATGGCCGCCAGGGTGTCGACTCGGTCAAAGGAAGCGTCGACTTGTACAGCGAGTACTTCCGGACCATCATTCAATTCAGTTCTTGCACTGAATGTGCGGACCAAGATTGCCATGGGTCTCACGGACGACGGATGCGCCTCTGTCGCGTGGTGCGGCGACAAGTTCAGCGTAGCTGGGCAGAACTGGGATGTACGCCTTCCAAGACGACAACTTGAACTACGATTGAAGAATCATTATCCAGCGGCACTGGATGTACGCTCAAAAGGAGAGACTAGTCATCTTCTATATACGGCCGTCGGGCGCGTCCCAGCCCGCCATCAGCACCGTCATCGAGGCCGCCATCGTGGCTAAGACGGGCCTCAACAGCGCCGTACCAGGCTCCGGGGACAGTGACAAGCAGTGAAAGAAACACTAAACTATTACTAAATATTACGCTTACACGATACTCGTCTTATGCTTGTAATCTCATTTGACTCAAAGAGGGAAACAGTAATCAATTAATAGGTCGCTATTTAGCTCTAGGTCCATGAACTGCCGGACTTGACAGTGCCCGAGGGACTAGTAATATGCCTCAATGTCACGAAACCATGTTCGGCAAGCCTGTGCCTGCTATAAAGGCGACTGGATGAGTGTGGAGAATGGGACAGTGTCGACATGGAGTCTTTGTCGTTCTCGTCAAGGGGGCAGCCCATGTCGGCAATGTCCACAAGGCCGATGAAAGATTCCGCCTCAGATTCCCTGGTCCTTTTCTGGCCAAAGACAGAACTCGGATGTTTCAGTATTGTTCCGCCACACCGAGCCGTCGAACTTGTTGACGGCCATGGGCGCCATTTCCTCACTCTGTCCTGTTCTTGCCCTCCGACCTGTCCGACGCCAGACTTGCAGTTGGCTACAAATTTTGGTTTTGAATGAACAAGCCGGTCTCTGCATTCTGCATTGCAATCTCATATATACCATGTCCCATCAATAGGATGAAAAATGCCCGCACTGTCCTTGGCCCGCTGGTGTACGCGCCATCCGCAGCCCAAAACGAGAGCACGATCCAGTTCGCTGCCCATGATGGCATCGCCGCCACAGCTATCTGCCCATCTGCCTGAAATGCTCCCATACCCTGGGCGACATTTTATGGTTGACAAAGAACTCATCCCACTCGTTGGGGATATACTTGGGGGCCTGGTCATAGTCGACACCGTCGTTGAAGTACTGGCAACATTCATCGAACAAGATGTCCCTCTGGACCATGTACGCACCCATGTTCCGGCCGTGGACAATATCGTGCAGAACCTCGTACCAGTACCCTCCTTGATCATTCAAGTACTCAACCATTAGAGGAGCAATGATGCTCGGTCCCATTTCGACCAGATCGAAATACTCGTCGGAGCCCTCGCAGCATATGGAGAAGCTAGCGTGGATGCTGTGCAAGTCACAGTACTCTTTCCAGAGTCCGACGCGTTCTTGATACATCTTGTTGCGTTTGTAGTTGAGCTCGACTATCTGGCTGCCATGGCGGCACAGGACCTCGTCGGACACGAGGGGTTCATCTGGATTTCCGCGGTATTCGAGGTCCTTCTCCATGGTATTGTCTGGCACAGTGTCAGTGGGACACTATGAGAAGGAGTGAGCGTGAAGGCGCACACAAAAACACTCCGTACGAGTTGTGGTCGGCGTTTGTTGCGAGCTTGAAAACCACCAACGGCAGGATCTTGGGACCGAGCCTCTTGAGAGCCTCAAACTCGTCTGTCCGGGTACAGGCATCGAGACTGTTGAGCGGTAAGAGATGGCGCCTAGAGTGAAGAGTAGGAAGGGAAATGTACCTCGGCCATGGTGTTCGTCCTTGGCACACCTCTTGCCAGGCCGTCCACTTGGATTCGAAATCTGTCACGGCTTCAGGGAATGCCTTTCGAATGGTGTGGTAGAGCGCCTTGGCCGACTCGATGGCATCTTGATTTGGCGCGGGGATGTGACCGTCTGTTCCCATTTTGAAAGTTCGCGTATAGCTCTGTCATACGTTTCGAGCAGCAGCGGGACGGAGTGCACGATGGAAAAATTGCAATACCACTGTACAAAGCAAACCAGTTGACGTCTGGTGTTGTTGATTGAGGTTGGAGGCGGTCGCGAGCCCCGCACTGTTGGTTGCGCACCTCGATGCCTCTTCATTTTGTGCATGCTTTAGTGCTGGCTGGTGCCAAGGAGATGAAGTCAACATGGCAATACTTGATGATGGCTTGAAACTGTAGCTGGCCTCGTGGTGAGTACCTGCAGCGCACCAAGTCGGCTATAGTTTCCAGCAACCGTCATCTAGGCGTCAAGACTTGTCGCCGTATCGGAAAGCGCATTTTGGTGAAACACGATTCTGAACACGATTCTGAACGTGGAATACTACGAGAATACCCCGGCATCGAGGGTGGCATGGGGGCACGGAATAATGCATTTCTATCTTGCCGCATCGCCATCACAACCCGGCACTTCAAATGTTACCACCGAGGCTCCAAGTTACGATTCTCCATTCAGACAGCATCGAACCATACAGTGGGAGGCAAAAAGTATTGAACCAGATCAAGGACCTGGCTGTCGTGCTTTATATTATAGTAAATTACAATATATGATAAAACAAGAGTGTATTAACTTTTTTGTTTCCCCTCAAGTCAAAGAAGACTACAAGCATGATATACGCATCGTGCAGGCACAACATCTGGTAACACAATATTAGGCTATACTAAGCTGAGAATAATAAAAGACTAAAAAAGTAGACTATTTATACGCGTATTATTACGCGTCAAATATACTAGCAAAATTCGTACTACTAAAGCCATCTCGCGATAGCCTCAGCCACCATTATCATAGAGGTAAACCTTATATATTATAGTAACTTTAAGCCTGTGAGTCACGCCGAGTCACGCCAAAAACCTAATATGCCCACACACGCAGTATATCAACGAGGTCTCGCCCGCATTCTAAGTCAATCCTATTCCTCTCCATCTAATCTAAGTCATCTGCCTCTTCTGCTATCAAGACCCTGCCACAACAACAACAACAACATGGACAAAGGTGCCGAGAAGCCCAGTACTCCTCCCGGAAACACTCTAGGTCTGCCTGGGCACCATGATGACCTGCTTCCCGAGCCTGGCTCCATATCCAATGTGCAGCAACCATTGTCTAGGCCCCGACATGGACGGAAGTACGCGCAGGTTCCTCAGATGGGGCCTTACGACCCGATCCCGTTACCTAGCCGGGCCGCCCAAGACTCGGCTGTGCAAGGCTACAATGAAGTTCGCAGGTCTGCTCCGGAATTGGTCAAGGCGTTCGAGGAATGCTTCCACGCCTGGCAGGTCACCTGGGACAGACCAACTAATTCGTCACAGTAAGTAAAGGACTTCCGAGACTAGATGAAGTCGGCGCCAACTTTAATATAGGGCCCAGATCCGGTGCCATGTGGACGAGTTCCACGAGCTCGTAGAGATGGGGCCCGAGATTCTCCCACTCGTTGTTTACAAGCTCCTTGACAGGCGCAACTTCACGGGCGTCTTCCTCTGTGAGTCTATACTGTGAACTCGGTATTTATCATGCCACTGACCTCGGACAAAAACAGACAACGCTCTGGAGAATGATGAGAGGTATCTCATCGACCCTAGTGATGTCTTGAACTTCCTCGTCCTCCAACGTCAAAACAATCTCATCATCGAGATTAACCTGGGACGGCAATGGTAAATCTGGAATCACGGAATTTAAGGGAGAGAACCCTTATTAAATTGTACTTCTATTTAAAAAGAGTTTTAGCTATATAAAATATAGCTAGCCCGAATACAGTAAATATTGCCAACCACGATAGTGTAACACTTGGCGTTAGTAACCGCCAAAAATTAACACTAGTAGAAGCGAGCTGCCAAGAATCTGCATTTATCTGGTCGATACACTCCCTTGGCCTTTTGTCCGACAACGACGTGGCAACCAGGCGCAGCAGTTTGGTACTTGATATATAGCAGTGAATTGGCGGCCGGCAACAGTTGAATGCAGAGATGTATACCATGCCTGTGTCAGTAATAAGTATTAACGAGATGGAATACTATGCACCTATATATATATATGTACCCGCATGTGTAAGCGTTATACCCGTTAACTAGCAAAGAATAAAGGCCGTATGACGCTGCAACGCCGTGTAATGTCTCATGTCATGATATCCGCCCAGGATTACACATTAGAATCCGCTGTAGAAAATAAAAAGAAAAGAAACATGAGGAAAACTCATTTCCAATCCCACCACAGCTCCACGACCTCGTCCCTGGGTCCATGTGCGCCGTCAGAGGCACCCGCCGCATCCCCAGCTCGATGGACATATACCTGGCGCAGATTGCCGCCAACCACCTCGGCATCGAGCAGGCGATAGCTCTTCTTCTCGTCGTCCGGCACCTTTTCCCGCATGGGACCCAGGCTCCATTCCCAGTTGGCCGGGTCGGCGTCCCACGTGTCCTCGGTGCGGTGCAGGCGCAGGTCCTCGGCGCCGCCCCTGTAGACGGCGATGCTGAAGCCGTTGGCCAGGACCGTGTCGGGCCCGAAGCGCCACCGCTGCAGCACGCAGCTCCCGCAAAAGACGGCCGGCTTGGCGATCTTGTCGACGGGCGCGCGGTGCCACGTCTTCCAGTGGTGCAGGCTGAGCGGCAGGCGGCCCGACTCGTAGAAGCCGCTCAGGTCGTCGCCAAAGTCGAGCTGGTGCAGGCCCGGCACCTGCGTGAAGTTGGTGGCCGTCTTGTCCTCGACGCAGTACCGCAGCATGCCGTCGCCCTCGCGGATCGTGCTCTCGGCCAGGCACGCGTCAACGTTGGGCTCGAGCAGCCGCAGCAGCGGCACCGACAGGAAGATGCCGCCGCCGCCGTACGCCATGCGCCCGTGGAAGCTGACGGCGTGGCTGTTCTCCGAGAGGCCCCCGACGTACGCCGGCACCGAGGCGTCGAGCCCGTCGAGCACCCCCGCCACTGGGTACAGCGACGGGAAGAAGGTGTCGTCGTCGATGATGACGCCCCATTGCGTGTCGGCGTCCGCGTGCGCGAGGAGGTGGCGCACCGCGACAAAGTGCTGCTCGTTGACGCCGACGGACGGGTCGGCCGGCCGCGTGCCGATGAAATGGATGCCCGCCCGCTCGTACTGCACCGCCAGCCTCCTCATCTGCCTCGGCGAGAAGTGTGCGTCCGTCACGACGGCGAGCAGTCGCGCCTCGGTGCCGCCCAGCCAGTGTCGGAACTGGGGGATGGACTGGACGAGCCGCTCCGAGGACGACGCCACGCCGAAGAGGAACTCGGAATAGTCACGCTGCGGAAACGGCGGCGGCACCTGGACGGAAATTGGATCGCAGGCCTCGTCGACTGGTGCGGCGCCGTGGCAGCCGTGGTTCAATTCCACGACGCGACTGCTGTCGGGTTGGATCAGCGGCTGGGCATGGCTGGCGACGACGTCCCTCGAGGTTGCGGCGCTGCGCAGGCCGCGCATGCACCGCCTTTGGTAGACGATTTGCTGGGTGAGGTTGTAGCTGCTGCGCCTCAGATAGTCGAGATCGGATCGGCACGGTTTGGGGACGCGCAGCTTCTCGGGCAGCGCGGCCTCTAATCCCAGGGGCAGGGCGTACTGTAGGCGAGATTCCGAGCGTTCAAACACGCCGAGACAGAGAAGCAGTAAGAAGAAGCAGGTGATGAGGACAAAGGCCGGCGTCCTCCTGCGGACGGGCACCTTGAACGGCCGGACTGCGACGCCCATGATGAGTTGGTGTCTGAGAGATGGAATGTTGTCTCCGCCCCCGTTTAACCAGGTCGACAGGGTGAATGGGCCGAGAAAACCATTGGGAGAAGAGAAGAAATAAAAAAACTTGTAATCGGCCTGCTATCGATTTGCGGGAAGCGCTTGAGTCGTCGTGAGGTCTGTGGGTTGAATATTGCCTTGGTCTGGACCGAGGTCGTCTACCAAGGTCATATATTGAGTAGTTGATGTATCACGGAGAATTTTTGTTCAAAACCAAACACGACGCAAAGGGAGCACACCATCAGCCAAAGGAACGGCGGCAGTGGCGTCACCATCTACTAAATGTGCCGCCGGCCGCCACAAAAAGATTGACCGGATAAAAGTCCACGTTCCCATGGGCATGGCCAAACGAGGATGGGACTGATGCTCCATACTTTTGACCCCCAGGAGCCCCTTATCTGCGATTCCGCACACGCACCATGTTGCAGCTTGGGCCAAGACGGGGTAGCGCAGGAGAGGCTGGATTGCTTCAGCAGCCAGCGGGGTCGGAATGGTCCATGTGAACTCGTTTTGATGGAGAAGGGTGGGTATTCCCATGTTCAATGAGTTCTGTGTGATGGCTTTGATGGTGTCTCTTGCCCGTAACCGTCGTGGCCGTCGACGATCCGTTCATGCGTCCCGTTCGGTCGAACAAGGAGTGCCCATCCATCGTGATGGGTCCGGTCGATGAAACCAAGTGATTGGCTGGCTGCATTCACGTTATGCTTGAATCGAAACCTATATTCGATGGGATGACAAGAGTTCGAGTATTTTTGGCAGTCGGTAAATCTCCGTCGTGATGACCAGGCTTCAACCTTGTTTGCAAACAAAGGCAAAATGCCAATTGTTACCGACATCAGCCAAAGACTAGCCGAAACAGACGCGGGACTGCCAATGCCCGCTTTTTAGCTGAGACTGTCGATCGTTATGGACAAACAGGGTCTGGAGGTGTGTGTGGCGGCCAGGCTGGATTCTATGGCTTTGGCTGATTGCGCGTCTTTTGTTGGCTTTATCTTGGCTGCGTCTCGCGATAGCCGCCGTCGGAGTCGATCAATCGATACCTACAGAATTCGCTCACCACATGTTGATCGTTTGCTCGTGTTCAACAACCACCTGCGTTTAATTCACCCTGCCAACACGGCAAAGCGGATATTCCAAACCGAGCCTAGACCCTGACCATGCTACCATGATCCATTGGCCCGGGCTCATAACTGGGGAAATTGGAAATTGACATTCAAGTCCCGCGCCTCAATGCTGCCCCCCTTGAGGCAATATAAACGACCCACGTGGGCCAAAGCTTGACCTGAAAGCTTGGTTGCCGCCCCTGTTCAGGAGCTGGTTCTTGCATTACTCAAGAACAAACAATCAATCGTCCACGCCGCAGCTACTACTACTATAGAGGCTTCAATTTTCCAAAGTCAATTGGCCAGATGAGTCGGCGGCGCCAGCCACAGCACAGCCAACGCCGTGCGATCCGTCGGCATGACGCTTGAACGGCTACCAAAGTTGCCAAGATGCAAGCCATGACATTGGGCTAGATGGACATGTCGAGCGTTGCGACTGTCTAGTCGGCTAGCCGAGTCCTGCATCACGTCCGGCCCACGCAGACATCACCATGTCCAACGAAACCCCAGAATGCGACGGGAAAACGAGACGGTGGGGCCTTGGATCGCGATGAATAGTACTAGCTGTGTACTATTGTTAGATTCTCTACCATGCGACGTCTTTTAAGCGCAGACGTTACAATTCCTCAGATAAGCCATGTTGCGTCCTGCAAGCAGTCGGACCACGACTCTCCCTGCCGAACACACTTTTCCACGGCAACGACGTCCTGAGCGCCAAAATTTCCGTATAAATGGACGCAGCCGTCGCCTTCCCAATGGATACGGTGTTCGGTGAGCTTGTCGAGCTGTATCTTTACAACCCACAGCTGCAACACATGGCTAAAAAACATGTCTGCAGTCTTGGGGACCTATAGTAGGGGTTAGTGAAATCCGATCATTTCCCCCGTTCCATACTGGTTCTGTGCATCCCTGAGCTGCCGTGCTGAGATGTATGAACCCATCGGTTTGATCTAGTTCTGATGGTGGGTAGACGGCGGGGATGGGGTCCGGTGGAGTAGACGTGGTGATTTTGTAGACATGTTTTGGTTTGTTCAATCGCGATGATTCCATTTTATATTGCTGTGGAATGAGCGGTATGCTACTTTACACGAGATGGTTGAGGCGTAGGAGGGAGTTGGCCGTGCGGGGTGGTGAAGCTGCATCAGATGAAGCTGCGAGAATGAGAGCTTACCACACTGGTATGACTAACCGCCGTAAAAAGCGAGCTTACGTGACTTTGACTGCTCTGATGGCAAAGGGAAGCTGACTGTTCCGTCAGCTCGGGCTGATGTCAATAGCATCTCCACATCCTGTGCAGTCGCTCCACTGGATGATACCTCCAAGTTGGCTCCTCGTTGCCTTGCTGACGGCTTCACAATAGAAGGCAAATGAATATGGCTCGAGCGTGAATTCTGTTTGAGATTTGTATGACTATGCCAGCGATTCATATCGTCGCGACATCTTGGTGATATCAAGAGGCCTGGTTCAGCAAGACGGCTCAGAAGCTGTGTGGGGCCCAATATTGACTTTACTGCATATTGATAGTTCAGTGAACATAGTAGTTGAGATTGCTTTTTTGAATTGAGCGGGAGACTGCAGGTTTTCGTTCTGCGTGACTGCGTTAATGCTTTGTGTCTTTGTCCAAGGATGGATGGTGGCGACTCGGGCATGCACGCCATGAATTGGCAACCGGGCTTCTCGCTCTTTAACTCCGTAATACCTTGGAGTCAAGGACACCAACATGGAACCCTTTCGGCCCCACCCCCGAACCTGCTCGGGTTTTGCTCCGTATCATGCTCCGCGTCCAACATCTGAATCGAATACCTGGAGACGTATGCTATGCGCTCCTTGGGTCGTCTTGAAAACACTGGCAAGACTATAAGAATGCGAAATGAGCGACACGGTTTGCTCCCATCCCAAGAAATGTTGACCTTGCATAAAATCGACAACGACAATGCCCGCAGCCATAAAAACCGGCAGCATCCCAAATATAGCCTGGGAGACTGCTGCTGATGTCTATTTCCCGCCCGAATTCGACGAGAAAAAGAAGTACCCGGCTGTTGTGTCCGCTCACCCCATCGGCTCCTGCAAGGAACAAACCTCAGGCAATGTCTACAGCAAAGCCCTAGCGGAAGCTGGCTTTATTGCCGTTGCCTTTGACGCCTCCTTCCAAGGCGCATCAGGCGGCGAGCCGCGTTTCATGGAGAATCCAGAATTCCGCGTATCCGACTTCCGCTTCGTCGTCGACTACATCCAAACTCTCCCCTACGTCGACCCCAGCGCATTGGCGTGCTGGGTATTTGCGGCGGCGGCGGCTACGCTCTCAACGCCACCATGACCGACTACCGCTTCAGATGCTGTGTGGCCGTCACACCCGTCAACTTCGGCCGCCTCTCCCGGGAGGGATTCGCCAACTTTGACCCTGTTGCCTCGCTTGAGAAGATGGCAGAGCAGCGCACTCTCGAGGCCCAAGGCGCCAGCCGCAACGTCATCAACCTACTGCCGCCCACACTCGAGGGCGCCAAGAAACTGACCACGGATGTCGACGTAGTCGAGGCGACCGAATACTACAAGACGAGCCGTGGAATGGCACCCCATGGCGCTACGAGCGGTCTCTTGTCGTTTAATAGCGCGGCTCTCGCGTGGGATGCCTTTAACCACGCTGAAGTGCTCATGTCGCGGCCATTCATGGCTATTATCGGAGATGTACCAGGTAGCTTCGGCGCCTATCGCGATGCGCATGAGATATATGGCCGTGCGGGGTCCAGGGACAAGCATATCGTCGTCCTCCCTGGCATCTCGCACTACATGCTTTATGACAAGCCTGAGGCCGTGAAGCCTGCGTTGGAAAATGCCCTGCCTTTTCTTAAGAAGCACCTAGGCGAAGCTGTGTAGTTGGCTATATGCGTTTGCGATGAAACGCAGCATGTTGACGTATGATGCCGCCCCCTAGGTTCGATGGACCTTGGAACATGCCGCTTTCTTCAGACTGTTTGGCTGCCAGATGTTATGTGGGCTGTCATGTTGTTGTTCTTTTCACGCTCTTGATGGGTATGGAGTGGCTGTAATCATATCTGGAGGATAGTCAGAATAGGTCTATATAATTTCTAGTTATAACTGACTAGATTGGTCAGAGTTCTGATAATCAAGGACTTATTCATACGCACAATTCCCATGCGCACTTGACGGGGAATCCACAGCTCAGGGCTTGTCACCGGTCTTCAAGGCTAGTAATCTTCAGACCAAGAAGTTGACGATACTGAAGACCTCCGAGAATTCTCTCATAACCCTCGCAAGCGCATTTGCAGACTGTCGCCTTCTTTAGCAGCCGCGATATAATTGAAGCTGCCGATTTCCCATCTCCGTAACGGGCTGTTTTCGATAGCCATTGCTGGGGCTTCGAGAGCTAAGCTATCGGCCGTTAGAATCCTTGCACGCTCACGAGGGCAGATTCAGCCCACGGCGTCTCTGGAGCCATTTTGTTGGAATTGTTGATGATTGAAGATGATTGTGTTGACGGAAGGTTTGGTGGGGTGACGCGTTGACGCGTAAATCGTGTGAATTGCTCGTCGCCGGCCTGAGTCAGCAATATTAGATATCCTGGAAGCACCGACCTTTTCTTTAATGTCATTGACTCCTTTTCTTCTTCAGCCATCCGCCCGCCATGACAACTCGCAATCTACTCTCCGGCCCCGTCACTCTATCTGCCGCAACAGCGAAAAGCAGAAATGTTCTTCACGCTCTGGAATACCCGCAGCAGAAAGAAGATTTCTACGAGCGCATGGTAACCCATCGTCCTCTTCTGGCCGATCTCGTAGCACATCACCTTGGCACCAAACCAACCGATGTTACTATTTCTTCGCAAGAGTACTGGCGCCATGGATCATTCAATCTTTGTATACCTGTCCATGTCAACCCCTCTGCGAAGTCAAAGTCCCCACAGTTCGTGTTGCTCCGCTTTCCGTTGCCTTATCGCGTTGGAGAAGCAGTACGGCCCGGCAATTCGGATGAGAAGGTCAATTGTGAAGCTGCAACATATGCCTGGCTCCAAGAGAACTGCCCTTCAGTTCCTATACCGCAGCTTTACGGCTTTGGGCTGTCTACTAACCAAAGAGTACGTGCCTCAACTTTGAAATGCCAAGATTCTAACCGCGTGATCCCCTGCAGTTTACGAATCTTGATTTCCTCCCGTGGTGGTCGCGCTGGTTCCAGCAAGCTCGCCGCTATTTTCTAGCTACCTTTGGCTTCCGGCAGCCTTCACGATACGTGTGCCATCCCTCTAGCCGCTTTGCCGACCTTGATATCGGCTACCTGCTGATCCAAACTATTACATCCGGAGAGATGCTTTCAGAATCCTGGGACGAGAAGCATGACGATGCCCGTCTCCAAGACAATCTACAGCGAAGCCTCGCTAGGGTAATGCTCTCGCTTGCAAGCGTTCCGCTGGCGCGTATCGGAGCATTCCGACTGGACAACAACGGGTATTTGCAATTAGACAATCGTCCGATGAACGTCATGTTTGCTATGCATGAGAACGAAGGCATCCCCCTTGACATTTCCAGACACACAACCTTCTCTAGCGTCGATGACTTTGTCCTTCAGCATTTGGCGGCTTTTGACAACCGGCTACTCTACCAGCAAAACGCCATCACTAGCCGTGACGATGCGTGGTACCAGATGACCAGTCTAGCTGCCGCAAGAGCTATATTCCCGCAAATGTTCCGGAGAGACTTTTGCAATGGCCCTTTCGTGTTTACTTTAACCGATATGCATCGAAGTAACATTTTTGTTGACGAGGACTGGAATGTTACTTGCATCATTGACCTAGAATTTGCCTGCTCGTCGCCCATCGAATTTCTACAGCCGCCATACTGGCTCGGCGGTGGATTAATCGACGAAATTGAACCTACCGAATTCGCACCAAAGCATAGTGCGTTCCTCGAGCTGCTCAAGCGAGAAGAACAGCTTCACAACTACCAAAGAAATGCAGAGCCCCTCTCGTGTATCATGCGGCAAGCATGGATAAACGGGGCGTTTTGGGTCACGCTAGCGGTAAAGGATCCAGTAGCCTTTACGGAGATATTCTACGATCGTATATTGCCCAGCTATTTCTCCTACTCTCCGGAAGAACTAAGCAAGGCCGATTATAGATTCTTTGCCCGTCTTTGGCGCCCCAACATCTCTGACATTATTGACAAGAAACTACAAGACCGAGACACGTATCTAGAAAGACTCAATGCAGTCTTCACCGACTTTACATGAACATGTTTGATCCGGACCTGCCAAGTGCACTCATTCACGTTCCGCCACTGCTTTGCTTTCGTGGAGGGGCCGAAAGTCTTGGATGCTGTGTTCTTCCTAGCATCTTTTGCGACCTGGCTGGATAATGACAGCTACTTCGCCTCTCTCCCTGTCATCGAGAACCCGAAAACGGGCTGCTGGGTTTTCGGTTCCCTTTTTGCACATCAGACGACGAGCTCGAGTTGCCTTTGTCTGATATATCGAGAGGCTGCCTGACTTAATACAGGCCAATAGTTCTCGCGTGGATGTTTCAATTGGTCTCACCTTGGACCTGCTGCGTTAATACCATGCGTGTTCGTAAGTCACAGTGGTTCGCAAAATTCCTCTAGGGCAACGTGTGGCCGGCATCGACTGGCCATGTAACCTGTCTATTCGTATCTCATCCCATCTTGCGTAGGTAGGTCAAACAAGCTCAGCAAAAAGTCCAACATCGCTTCTTGGACTAGAATGAAGCTTCAACAGCTGGAGAGGACTGGTTTTGGTTACCATCTAATCAATGGCCTTATGAGTTTTTTAAAAGAAATATACCAATAACAGAACTAATGTAATTGGTATTGTGAATGGTGTTTGTTCTAGCAGCCAAGCCCCGTCTTCATCCGTCCTGAGTTTTGACGCCCAAAAAGCTTCTGTATGCCGGGTTGCATAACCCAAAAGACCAAAACAAAAACCTCGTTGCCTAATGCCGCCAAACCAAAACAACCTGGCCAAGAAGAAGCTGCCCCAGCTCATACAGTTCCCGGATAACCGCCACTCTTCTTTGAGCTCCAAACACGAACTCCCTACACTGACCACTGGCCAGTGCTTCTGCTGAGTAAGCCAGCCATCCGTGGTCAAAGTCAGGTGGCACATGTCTGGTCTGTTTCTCATCGTTCTCACAGCTTCTGCCAAGCTCTGCACAATGCAATCCAAACAGAGATTTCTTCTTATGGATAAAGATGACCTTGTTTGGCAGAAACTAGACGAAGAGACTGAGGAATGGGACAAGTTAATTCGCAGAGAGGAGACCTACCACGATATCGGCAACATTATTCTAAAATATCGGCAAGGCAAACCAGAAATGATGCACGCAGTGGTCAAGGGAGGATATAATGTTATTTACAGGCTCGAATATAGCGATGGCTCGTCCGTTATACTGAGGATTCCAATCAAAGGTAAATATACCGGCAAATGACCGTAACTACCAGATCGCTGACAGGAACAGGCGTCGTTCCACTTCCCGACGAGAAAGTCCGCTATGAAGTAGCCACAATGAAATATGTTGCCGCCCATACCACCATTCCGGTTCCTCACGTATACCATTACGCGATGTCTGCCGAAAACCCGACAGGTCTTGGACCATTCATCATCATGGATTACATTGAGCATCATCAGAACATGTCTAGGGTGCTTCTTGACCCAGAACGCAGGGCTGATGAGCGCCCGGTTCTTAACCCTGCAATCAGCGAGGAATGTCTCGGGCATTTGTATGCTCAGATGGCTAATATCCTACTACAACTAACCAGCTTGAGATTTCCTCGCATTGGCTCGCTGGTGGAGGATGGCAAGGAGCCTATTTCTGTGAAGGGACGCCCTTGGATCGAAAATATGGGCGACATTATCGTGCACACTAATGCGCCATTAAGCACGCTGCCATCCCAGACCTATGCCTCGGCATACGAGTGGTACCGCGCTCTTGCAGACATGCATATGGCCCAGTTCGCATTCCAAGGTAACGATGCTGTGGAGGATGAGGATGATGCCCGGGATAAATATATCGCTCGCCAGCTATTCCGGAACCTCTGCATTCAACAGCGCTTGTGGCGGGACTCGGAACAATTCGACGGAGATTTCCGATTGTACTCTGAGGATCTTCGTCCGGCGAATGTCCTCCTAGATAAGGATATGCGAGTCGTCGGCGTCATAGACTGGGAGTTTGCGTACGCAGCTCCCGCGCAGTTCAGCTTTGATCCTCCGTGGTGGTTGCTTCTAGAGGAACCCGAATATTGGCCTGATGGCTATCGTGCATGGATGGATGCCTACGAATCTCGACTTCAGACCTTTCTACGTGCATTGGAGGCCGAGGAGGAGAAAACGAAGCGCGCGGCACTTGCTGAACGGGTCAACAGCTTGCCACTGACCGATGAAGAGGTGGAACCGCCACTGTCTCGGCGTATGCGTGATAGCTGGGAGAAGCAAACGTGGATGCTCAACTACGCGGCCAGGAAAAGCTGGGCGTTTGATTTTATCTGGTGGAAATTCTTGGACGAGAAATACTTTGGGTCCAACGCGCATCAGGACCACGTAGCCAGGCTCAAGCTACTTTCTGCCTCACAACAGAAGGTGATGGAACGATTCGTGGCCCGCAAGATGGAAGAAAGAACCAGGCGAGATATTGTTGAGTGGGGTAATGAAGAACCCGCCAAATATCTGGCTGAATTCCTCACTTGACATGCCTCTGTATTCCAAAAACAAGTCTCCAATGTGTGGGCAACAAATGGCGCTGTTACTTGGTGTATACATGGTGGTTCGCCCTCATGTACAAGCGTCACTGTCACATTGTTCAATCCTCTTTCATAATGAACTCGAAGCTAATAATTTACGCCAATTTACTCGTATACAAATAAGCCAGCGTTATTTCCTCTCGCAAAGATGGCCGCGTTGACAGAACCAAGAGGATTGATCACTGGTGCTTCAGTCACGACGCCACCGATAGATCGCCAGTCTCCCCAAGAGTTTCCGTTAAACTCCAGCAGATACACAGCATTATTCACACCTTGTGCTGCAACCGTGATATACTTGCCTCCCCAGGTTGTTGCCGACGGCCGGGACATGATAGTTCCACCCAGACTGATCCAACCACTTCAAGCTGCTCCGTTCCAGTTCTTTTGATACAGAGCATTGTTTCCTCCACGAACAAAGAGATCTAGTCTGTTTGGGGCGGTGGACACGGGCGTTATATCTTCCAGCACCGTCCCACCATGGTTATACCAGCCTGACCATAAAGAGCCGTTCCAGGCAATATGATATACCCCATTATTTGTGCCTCTTGCAAACACATCAAGTCGGTTGGCGCCCCAGGAAACTACCTTTGGACTTCCTATAACGGCACCACCAAGGCTCTCCCATGCACCCCATGCGGCTCCATCCCAAGCCCTGTGCCAGACTGCGTTGTCCATACCGCGACCGAACAGGTCCAATCTGCCATTTCCCCAGGCTACGGCACTGATATCACCGCCAAAGGCGCCGCCTAGAGTTCCCCATGTCGACCAATAGCTACCATTCCACCACCCGTGATAGCACGCATTGTCGGCACCAACAACAAAGGCATCCAGCCGATCATAGCCACGAGACACTACTGTGACATCACTGAGAATGGAGCCTCCGAGGTTCTGGAAGCCCGTATCACTGGGGCCCCATGCTGTGCCTGGGTTGCCAAGTTGCCATTTGTGATATACGGCATTGTCGCTTCCTCTGACGAAGATGTCTGTCCGGTCAGGGGCCCATGAGATAATACCAGGGTGGCCTATTTGTGTGAGATTTGATCAATAGGCATTCAATGGAGGAAGCATTGCTTTGAAAATACTCACCTACGATTGAACCCCCCAACGCCTTCCAAGTCAGTGCCGCCGAGGCACGCTTTTCGCTCTCAACCGCCCTTCCATTACACAATTGAGGTGCAATGGAAAGAAGAGAGAGACCGTACAGGAGTGAACTTTTCAACATGGCGGGTGTGATGCATGAATTGGGGAGTCTACGTTGGAATCAGCTCGGGGCAGCTTAAGGCGTCCAACCAGACGTATTTATAGGCATTCAAGTGAACTCAGGTTCTTTGAATCAACCAGCCGAGAATCATGGCCGTCAGTACGTATCTACCCCGCGCATGGCCTTTTTCAACGGAATATTTTGTGAACTGACGAGCTGAGACAGACATACGGTCTGGACCAAGCGCCATGCGGTGTTGCTGTTTTTGCCGTGCATAAATGCTACCCATGAGATATTCTCACCCCAAGCCACAAAATATGTCAGTTATTCGGATTCGATTCCTACATTGTCGTGGATTATTGCTCGTAATGAAAACATGCCGTGTTGTCAAAAGTTGTCTCACTCCTCTACCCCCTCCTCGCTTACTCCTCGCTGAAGCGCAAGAGAAACTCGTCAGCCCATACCACTTGTGCCGCATAGCATCAATCAAAACCTGTCCTCAAACGGTAGAGGAAGAATAAACAATACGCTCGAAAAAATGCCCGTTTCGCGATTCAAGCGCCAAAATCGGCACATCACGCCAACTCATTCCCAGTAGGCCCAACGGCGCAACTTTGGTTTCTCTGTGGCCCTCCGTCAGAGTTGCACCCCGAAGAGCTCCAGCGAATCACCCGTTGGTCCTGCACGTCCTTAGTAAGAAACATGTACGTCGAATCGATATTGCAACGCTGACACTGGCGAGCACATGGGTGCTGTTTTATGCGCGCTCGCGGGAAGGGGGAATGGCATGGGAGCACGGCTAGCTGGAATAGATGATGACTCTCAAATGTTTCACGGACTATGCATCTCCAGCCGTTTCACTGCGTCCACGGCCCGGTTCCCCTCCCGACTCGAGTGGCTCGCAATGCAACGGGAGCCATTTTGGCCCGAGGATGCAGGACCCTGGGGGACCAGACCCCTCTCGATTTTTACAGCCTCACTTCTTTCTTGGCCGCGGTGTCGTGTCTTGGAAGTACTTGACCGTATACTGCGGCTGGGTACATTTTTTAAACGGACTGTGGTTGAATGTGGCTACATGCCTTTTGAAGATGAAAGTGGTATCTGCGGGGTTGGATCTGCGGCAAGATGGAATTTTTAATCCAAAGGGCGTTGAAGCTTGCGAGCGTCGAGGATTATTTGGATGATTTATTACATAAAATGTCTCGCACTTTGCGCACTTTGTAAAGCTGGTTGCTGTAAATTGGTTAGCGTTTTCGACTGCCTTCCGCAGCATGTCTCCGGACCCGAGAGGGCTCCCCTGCTTACGCCTTTGGATAGGAAGCGCTTTTATACACTCTTTTTGAGTGTGGAAGTCTTGTGAATAAGGAGGGACTGCGTGGATGACATGGCTTACTAATGGAACGTAAGGTTTGTTTAAGACTAAGAATCCTATCGCCCGACGTATGACCGGATTACAGATGATGGAAGCTCATGCAGCTAGCAAGCCCTATTTGACTCTGTTTTTCATCTAGTATTAGCTAGCAAGAATACAAGCACGCACATGACATGAAAATCCCTTCTAGACCGTAAGAATGACAATCTGATAGATGGTGAAGAAATTAGCCGAGCAGACAAAATCAAATTCCTTGCTCGTTTGGACACAGACTGCAGTAATAAGTAATTATAAAGAATACAAAGAACACATGGAACCTTGAGCAAAACCCTACAGTAATATCTAGAGTTGTACATTGAATATTCTCCAAAACATCCCTGGCAATACTTGAACCGGTAGATTGACTTGCTGTGATGAAATTTGAAAATTAACCCATAATGTTGTAATCGGGCCCTGAACGGTCTCCTTCGCACACAAGTATACTACGTGTGCTACATAAGCCTAGCATTTACTGCCTCTCATTTACCTGCTACAAGCTGTGCCGAAGGCTGTGGAGTGTGTGGAAATTAAATTTACTTCGCCGCAGGCTGCCATGTAATTCTTTTACTTGTTAAACCAAAGTATATACCTAGATAGTTCTTATACCAGGTCACCTGGCACGAGCAAAGGCTCCCAAGATCAGTACCAACGTAGTCGACAAACTCACACGCTTCTGTTCATCTGCCGCCACCGTTGTACGTGCATACAAGTTGCTTATCACGGCCCAATTCCGACAAGCAGTCTGGTATTATCGAACCGGCCCAACCTTGGTCCATGTCGGGCTCGGGCTCCACCTTTGTCCGACTGCTCCGACCGCGAATCCGATCCCCCCCGGCTTGCAGCAAAGAGGTGCTATTTACTGGAGAAGAGTCCAGATGTCGTCTTACATGGAGCCAAGGTCGGCAAAATTGAGACCGTGTCGCCGGGCCTCAGGGCATCACGAGATATGCGCCCTGAAACCTTGTGAGACGGCAGCATCCAAGGCGGCCGTTATCTTGTGCCGGCTTTGTCACAAGTGTATATATATAATGCGCTTCATCAGGGTTATCCGGGATGGAGATGTCTCTCTGTGAATGAAGCAACTACTCGGCAAAACACCGCCGCACATATAGTCCTGGACACACAGCATCACAGCATGCCCGCCACCACCACCACCACCAGCGTCTTAATCGTCGGCGCCGGACCAACCGGTCTCGTGCTCGCCCTCTGGCTATCCAAGCTCGGCGTCAAGGTCCGCATCATCGACAAGGCCGAGCAAGCGGCAACCTCGACCCGCGCCCTCGCCGTGCAAGCGCGCACCCTCGAGCTCTACGCCCAGTTCGACCCTGCGCTCGCGAGCACCGTCGTCAGCCAGGGCCGCAAGGCCGTCGGCTTCAACGCCTGGGTCCACGGCCGCCGGGCCTCCCACGCACCCCTCGCCCAGATCGGCGAGGGCATGACGCCCTTTCCCTTTGTCCACATCTACCCGCAGCACGAACACGAGCGGCTGCTGACGGACAGGCTGCGCCAGGACTTTGGCATATCTGTAGAATGGCACACGGAGCTCGTCGGCTTCGAGGACCGACGCGGCGCCGGCCCCGTCGTGGCCCGGGTAAACACAGCACGCGGCGCGGAAGAGGTAATCGAGGCAAACTACATAGCTGGCTGCGACGGCTCGCACTCTGCCGTGCGCAAGACGCTGGGCATCTCGTTCCCCGGCGGCGTGTACGACCAATTGTTTTATGTGGCGGACATTGCTGGTGCCGGTCCCGCCATGGACGGCGAGATACATGTCTGTCTCGACGAGGCCGACTTCCTGGCCATCTTCCCTCTGGCTGGGCCGGGCTGCGCGCGACTCATCGGCACGGTTCGGGACACGTCGTCGGCCGCACTGCGCGACTTGTCCTTTGACCGTGTGGGCGGCCGCGCCATGCGCCAGATGAAGCTCCAGGTGAGCAGGGTCAATTGGTTTTCCACGTACCGCCTTCACCACCGGGTGGCGGAGCGCTTTCGCAAGGGGCGCGCGTTTCTGCTCGGAGACGCCGCTCACGTCCACAGCCCTGCCGGCGGCCAGGGGATGAACACTGGCATTGGGGACTCCATCAATCTTGCGTGGAAGCTGGCTGCCGTGCTGGCGGGCGACGCGGAGGACGTCTTGCTGGATACGTATCAGGAGGAGAGAGCTTGCTTTGCCCACCGCCTGGTTTCCACGACGGATCGCGCATTCAACGTGGCCACGGCAGAAGGGTGGTTTGCGCAGTTTGTCCGGACGAGAATCGTGCCGGTGCTCTTTCCGGTTCTGTTTTCTTTCCGGGCGGTGCGCCGATTCATGTTTAGGACAGTGTCGCAGATTACACTCAACTATTGTGGCATGACGCTCTCTTCTGGCCGCGTGGGAAAGGTAAGGGGGGGCCAGCGTCTGCCGTGGGTTGTCGTGGACGGAGTTGGGAATTATGAGTCGCTTTCGTCTGTGGCATGGCAGATTCACGTGTATGGGACTGCGACAGACGCTCTGACGGCTTGGAGCAAGAAGCACGGCCTGAGGTTGACGTCATTCAGCTGGACTCCTGGATGTGCTTCTGCTGGACTGACCCGTGATGCCGTCTATGTACTACGCCCCGATGGTTATGTGGCCGTGGCTCAGACGAGTGTGGATGTTGATGCCATTGAGCGGTACTTTGATCGACATCAGATACGACTCTCTTCTTTGGGGAGATGAAACGAGAAGACTTTGAACCCCCAAGTATGCCGTCCTGTATTGCTCTGTACTCTAGATAGCTTCGCAACACCACGATACTTTCAACTAGGACGCTTGGTGTGGAGCCGTTGGAGACCATGACGATTGAATGCTCCCCAAACGTCGTTCTAAGCATAACTGGGTTTAGTTGCAGCTAAGAAACCTATCATGTTATTAGATTGGACTTGGGGGAGAGTTGACTTGTCAGCGTGGTTTGCCGTCAGCCGTCTCCCCCTGGAGTTGTCCAACATCCCCGTCTGTCATGCAATTTTGAGATTCGTCATGTGTGAAGACCGCAGCCATAGTAATTAAGATAACGCGTTGTTCTCACAAAAACTCATCGCAAAATCAGGTCCTTCGACTTGGGCCACGTCGGTGTTGTCACAAACCAATGGTCCTACAACGCCGGAAGCGGTTGTGTCTCACCATGGCCTGTCGTCAACATCGGCCAACAGCACAACGCGAATGTCGTCATGTCTTGCAAATCAGTAGCTGAGCTAAAGCAGAAGAAGCCGATGTAAATCGTCTCCACGATGCAGAGACCTTAGTTTGCTCCTAAGGTCTAGTAGGCGACCTCGATACAGGATTCGCGATCGATGACGCCCAAGAGAACACAAGTGGTTTCAGCGTCCTTTTCACTTCTAATTGCATTCCACTTTTGCTGTGCCTCAACGGCGCCCGGAAGCTCGGTTCGGAATTGGTTAGATATCGATCGAGATACGCATTGGCGCAAACCTTACTTTAGCTGTTGGGCCAACGCCCGATGTTGACTAAACCGTGGGTTTGGCGACCAGAAGAGGCATCGCAGCTCCCGAATGGGAATAGCAGAGTCCAAAATGACGTCTCACTCCGTCGGATTTTGATTCCACACATCGTGCGCGGCTAATGGGGCGATTCATCATGGAAGACGAGCATCGTCACCGTAACTCGAGGGCTCTGGCAAGATAGGTAACCATCATACCTATGACACCGGTTGTGACATCAATTGGCCAAGTCTCCATATCATCTAGCTTCTAAGGTAGTTTACCTCTGACGTTGCGTTGCTACTAGTCTCCTATGGTCCAAGACTCACTGGAACTAATATAGGCCTTTGGTGATATGAGACCGAAGTATTTAATCCTGACATTTCCCCATGTAAGAAAATTTGAAGTTCATCATCAGCAATATTGCACATCAAAACAGACATTCAATCACTTCAACTCAACTATCAAACAATGGAGAAAGCAAAGAAGGCAGTTTCCAACTTCCTCTCCCAGGACGGAAAGCACAAGACAACCGTTGATGAGGACGTTCGAAAGCCCGTCACCGAGGAACATGTCTTTCCTGAGCAGCACGAACAAATAACCACCGCTGTTGACCGCGAAGTCCACCAAGACCACCATCAAACCGTGATCCAGCCCATCAAAGCCAAAGAAACATTGTATGTGCCACCCCCTGAGCAGAATTTTCACATGTTACCAAAATGCTTACCATTTGTTTGTACCCAGGCCCGAGAAGCACACCCACAACACCGTTCCCGTTGAGCACAAAACCGTCGAGCACGGCAACAAAGAGGACGTGAAAGCTACCCTGAAGCGAGACGCCGAAAACTACGTCAACACATCAACTACCCACGACACCAAACAGACGGCCACGGCCGCACCGGTAGTTGAAGGAGAGCGCACCCAGCACCACGTTCACCACCACATCCAGCCCGTCATCGAGAAGGAGACCATCCAGCCGGAATACATCCACACCACTGTTCCGATTCACGAAACTCACCATGCCGCCCCCATCCATCACGAGACTACTGTCCTGCCGGCAAAGACTGTGGAGGAGTACACGGCTGGTCGTGGAGATTTGCAGGCCCATTCGACCGCCAAGGTGAAGGAGTTCCCTGGCTGCCCTACGTTGAAGGATAAGTCGCTGCAGTCGGATAAAAAGGGCCAACAGGCTATTCATGGACATTAAGGGCTGGGGAGACTTGGTCGGGACGTGTTGTGTATTTTTATACTTTGGCTGCTATTTTGTTTACATCTGTCACTCCTTATATTATAGTGTCGTAATGCAAATACTAAATTATTGAAAGAATTCATTTATATTGCTGTGAAATAGATTTCTATGAGAATAAGAGGGGAATTGGGCGAACAATTTAAAGCATAGTGCATTTGTTTGTTCTAGACACACGTGTCTTAGCATGTCGCCTAAGAGCTTTATCACTTGTTCCGGCGGATTTTTTATACAAAACTTATTTTCAAGAATCACGGTAACTCTCAGTTTTCCAAACTAGTAGAATATGCGTAATAATGGCTTCAGTTTCTAGATTGATTTAAAAAACGTGGTCCAGGAAATTCAGCAGTGCCTTGCGGTGATGCCCCATTTTGGAACCTACTTATATGGTATTTCTCCCGTATAGAAATATAAAGATAGCAATTCTACAATAATGAGGCGCTCAAGGGTGTCACTAAGAGACGTAACTCTTCCTCTGCCAATAATCTTGGATACAGATTGGTTGTTGGTTTACTCTTGTTGTCACACTGTAACTGTTGGATCAAATCCCAACTAAGCCACAGGGCAAAAGTTGTAGACGCCTACGAATATATTACCGTAGTAGCTGTATTATCATGTTCAACTCAACAGCAATATGCTGTAGATGGGGCTCTGCAGTCTCAAAGACTGTGCACAAAGCGGCTCATCATTTCGCTGTTGTGGAATGATATAAACCGCCATATTGTCTAGACATACTAGTGCCGATAGCAAAGCAGTGCTAGTTTTATCAGAATGGCTCGGTCTTATAGGATGAGCTTGAAATGACGGATAGAGGATCCGTGATGCTAAGATGAGCTACGGGTTTCCCCTTCATTTATGTGCAAAAGCAATTGATTGCTCCTACGGATTGACAATGATACACGAATGAAACCGCTTCTATATTTTCGAAAATGTACTTTCATAATTCCGAATGTAGGACGGAACACTGCAAGAAATACTGGGTCTGGAGGTCGACACATGGTGTGTTGAACTTGCAGTGCAAACTACGAGCTGGGTTCACGCGAAAGTGAATAGACATGGCCGCCTACCCACAAAGACCAGTACACACAGGTAATACAATTGATATTTACAATGCTCAAATCGCGCATGGTCTAGCTGCCGCCTCAAATCATCCATCGTCTCGCTCAAAGTTACATCGATCCGTATACGGCTGCTTTGCCCACGAATCCTTTATGCCAAAGAATCAAAAATGGACGGTCGGAAGATTCGTCAAAACATCAAAACTACCAGTGCCCAGCTTCCCTAGTCGGCCCATCACAAGACGGCCGCTCGGTGTAGCCAGCTCGTCCCAGTCTCCATCCAGCACCGCGTCCTTCAGGAAGGCAAGTGTCGTCTCAAAGCTCATCTTGGTGAAGGGGCTGACATTACCCTGTAGACCCAAGCGGCTGAAGGCTGTAAAGTCGCCATTCCTCGTCATATAGTCCGCAATGAGGTTCAAGTGCCGGTTATCGACCTTGATACCGTGGGACCCGAACACGCCCGCAAGCTCTCGAACAATATTGCTTCGACATGCCTCAACACCATACATGGATAATACAGCCACGATGTCATTGGTCTGAATTCGATCCGGGTCGATTTCATCGCTGTACTTTTGAATTGCCCCGATATTGGCTCCAGTAACGTGAATGACGCGCTCCTTCCCACCTCCACCCTCCTCGTCCAGTCTGCAAGCCCCAATTCCTCGAATTTCCCGGACCATTGTCTTCTTTATAGCCCTTTGGACAATGTTGAGCATGAGGAACTTTGGCACCTTCGCGTCAAACTCGATCGTCACATTGCACCCGTCTCCAACGGCTTCGTCATACTCGAATCCCGTGACCTCTGGAAACGTGCTCATGACACGCTGTGCTCGGGGCTTGGCCGAATCAGCTACTTTGCGCTCGGCACTTTCGTCCTCGTCCTCGCTTGTCGTCTCCTTCTGTGGGTTGCCGTCCAAGCTCTCTACTTCCAGCCCATCAGCTGCTGCATCCTCATCCATTGCCTGCTGAATTTCATCATCGGCGTCATCATTTGGGCCGTATGAGACAGCTTCGAGGCGATTAGCCCGTTCCTTGGCAGAGGTAAAGTCGTCGTCACCCGCATCGTCACCATCGTCATCGTCACCAACAGTTTCAGCTGATGCAGCAGCCGTCTCCACAACCCCGACCTTGGCTCCAATATCAGGCGTAGCTGCAGTCGCATCCAGTGCTCTCTTTTTCAATTCGGCTTTTGACAATTTAATAAGGTGGTGAAGTAGTTTCCACTCCACGGCATCCAGTACATCGGATATGCTGGCATGGTGCATTTCAAAATATTCCTGCGGAGGGAAGAACTTGAGTTTGATGTGATAGATCTTGGCCGAAGGATAAATTTTGCCACGGCCAACCTTTTCTTCCACAACAACGCTGTCCAAGATATGCGATAGAGGAAGAGCACTAATTGAGTTGGTAAAAGCTTCGGCTTCCTGTTTGGAAAGACTATCGCGAGGGTAAAGAGACATGGCTGGCGTAGAAATATCCTTCGAGGCCGTCATCAAAATTTCTCTCAGCCGAGGGATACCTGCTGTGACGTTTTTGGCCGCGTGTCCCGCCAAGTGGAACGTGTTGAGGGTCATTTGTGTCGATGGCTCGCCCACGGACTGGCCTGCGACGATACCGACTGCTTCCCCGGGCTCTACCAGGGACTGCAAGTATTTCATCGCAAACAGAACCTCAGCGTTCTTCTTGTTTAGTGCATTGGATGAGTCTGGTGCTGACTTATCACGCTTTTCACGAATAAGCCCATCTGCATTCGCCTTCAGGTAAGATGACATGGCATTGTAGAAGGCTTCAGACAAGACAAATGCATTCGTTGCTGGGTTAAACGCGCTGATGAGCGGATCCCTTCCCTTTGGATCACCAGGTTTCGAGTGTTTCACAGCACTTTTCATGTATTTCGTAAACAACTCACGATCGGCACCTAGACGCTTGACCACTTGAGGGTCATATCTCAGTTGGGCCACCTCGGACGTTAAGTTGCGCAGGATAAAGCCAAAGTCCTTGAGGTATGTTTGTTTTGTGACATCCAGGCCGTCTTCGCCGTACAGGAACTGGATAATAGAGCCGTCCGCATCACGTACGGTTGTATCGTACCCAACCATCAGACCTTCAAGCCCCTTGATGACACATCTTTGTAGATAACCGGAACGCGATGTCTTAACGGCTGTATCAATGAGTCCTTCTCGTCCCGCCATGTGATGGAAGTAATATTCTTGCGGGCGGATGCCTGTAAGAAATCGGCTACCAATATATCCATTGGCCGTGATATTGGTCTCGAAGGGCTTAAAACAAGGTAGTGATTTACCACTAACCATAATAGGCACTCGCCTACTCTCTAGGACTTGCTGCCCAAGGTTACATGAAATGAGCGACGCGTTAACCCTGGATCCCTTTGCGCCAGACGTTGTCATTGCCTGCATTTGGTTTCGCGGGAACGGCTTTTCTAGGCCGTTGGGAATGCAGACCTTTTGAACTTTGTCTGTGATGTCCTTTGTCGTGTGATTCATCAGGAGATCCAGACCTTCTAGCTTCGTGTCGTCACGGAGGACCTCCTCAAGGCGTTCCAAAAGCACTGGATTCTGGCTGTCAGAAACGTCCTTGAGAGAGACGTAGTTGGAGGCAACCTCGAGGCCGACCCGATTAATAGCCTGTAGCTCTTGACGCCGAGCTTCTTCACCCTTGGCAGTAAGTTTCAAGTCATCCACACCGCAAGAGAAAGCCCGCATGTTGAGATACCGAGTTAGAAGTCGGCCAAAAGCGCTGAGAAGCTTGCCGGCGATGGCGGGCCCGTGAATTTCATGAATGGCATGGATTAAACCGCCCGAGCTTTGGCCAATCTGAGATTTGTCAAGAATTCCAGTCACAAATTCACCATCTTGGATCAGCACAGTGCCTTCTTCAGAGTTAGTGCCCCATTGCTCTGCCTTGATCTGTGACTCTCCCCGTAGATTGAGGGCACCGTAATTTATCGGTTGCGTGTTTTTCAATATCGTCGAGATGACTTGTTTCCCAGTCCATCGTGGCACGGGCTTGATAATAGCAGGCGGGACCAGCTGAATCCGTTCTCCGAAAATATGGCCGCTTTCGGGTCTAATTGCAGAGTAAACTAATGAATGATAGTCGCCGCGGCTGAAAAAGGTATCGCGAGTACATAGGGCGATAGATATCGAGATATGGTCCTGAATTAGACCTCGCAGTGGCTTTCCCTGTGTTCCAGATAAATATTGATGGTCGGTATCCGCTATGTGTAGTGCTTCTGCTCGAGCAACCTCATTTTGGGGGAAGTGCATATTCATTTCGTCTCCGTCAAAGTCGGCATTGTATGTGTTACAATTCGCATAATGCATGCGAATCGTCTTTTCCCCTGGCAACACCCGAACTCGATGTCCCATAATTGAAGGCTTATGCAACGTAGGCTGGCGATTCATCAACACAACGTCGCCGTTTGTAATATGGCGATACACTTTTTTGTTCTTTAACCTTACTGCAGCAGGGTTTGTTGGGGCAAGTAACTGGTTGGCTAGCGATATGCGCTCATCAACAGATTTATTTTTAAGCATCTGTACTTGACCATTCTCGTTCTCAATGGCGACAGCCCCTGGCCATGTATTGGCTCCATTGATAACGGCCTGCTGCATATCCCTAAAATTATGACTCGTTACGGGCTCTGGGAAGGTGAGTTTCTGGGCAAAAACTGGCGGGACGCCAATCTCATTCGTCTCGATATTCGGATCAGGGGAGATGACGCTTCTGGCAGCGTAGTTGACACGCTTACCCATCATATTCTTTCGGAAAAGACCCTCCTTCTTTTCCAGTTTCTGTTTGATTCCATCTTCGTTGCGTTTGGCGGCTGCACCTTGTACAGGGTTTTTGCTCTTGTCAATGAGTGCATTGACTCCCTCTTGAAGCTCTGTCCAGGCTTGGTGCAACTGTGTAATGTCGACGTGTTCTTCATTTTTCAGGACAGAGTATACTCGGGCTATCTTGGAACAGCCTCGTAAAATCGACTTGTACAGCGAATTCTGCTCTGCTTCAGTGACTTGAGAGTCTCCCATACGAGCTTCAGGTCGATAGCGATTCGGTGGCACAAGGATGGTCGTGATGAAGAACATGTCTGGGGTGACATCAGGAGAGCGTCGAGTACGTGGTTTCGAGTTGTACAAAAGAAACACAAGATCTTGCTCCTTCTTGAACAACTCACTCAGACGGGCCCGTATCTCCATAGGACTAATGTATCTCTGTGTCGATGCGCCATCAATATCGGGTTCTTCCTCGTCTTGATCGCTTAGTGACTCAACAATTGCGTCAGGCTCGGAGATTTCGACGTCAGCTTTTGGGTCCAATTTGGCATCATAATGACGCGTCATTGCATCTTTCCGTGAGAGATTCTTCTTCATCATTTTTACTTGCTCCTTTGGTGAGAGTGCCTTCTCGAAAATCTTTACATATCGATCTTTTCGATACGGGGGCGAGATGCCGTCGCATGAGGAACACTGTCTTTTCTTGTTTATCTCTGCGAGAAACTGTTTGATGACTTCTCGGCGAGCCTGGGCCATGCCCTCGTGTTTACCCTTCCTAGTATCACCTCGTCGAAGCGCACTACTTCGGAGGCACACTTGAACATACTGTTCCCTCTTTCTTGTTACGTTGTCAAAAGACGAATTTTCTTCATCCGCCTCGCTTTCGCCTAAGCCAAGTGCTTCATCCATCTCGGACGAATCCGTCTCGCCAAGAGCATCGATGACATGTGCCTCGCGTATGAGGCCGTGTTGCAGTAAGCGGAGTTTGCACATGTACTTATGGAGATCCTTTGGGGGTAGTCGAAAACCCCTGCAGTACACGCAGGTCGCTCGAAGTAAATGGTATGCTTGGTCCATAAAGACTGGGTGGTAGACTGGCGCTGGTAGCTGGATGTGCCCTGGATGACCTGGGCAGCTCGACGAAATTAGGCTACATGTCGCACATCTGGAGAAAATTGTCAGTTTGATTGAAAATATGGCAATTGAGAGAAATGGGCCTCACGGTTCGTCTCCCCATGATCCAAGGGCGGGGTCATAGAGACCTCCATGAACGGGGTTGAGGAGGCTGTCGAAAGTGCTGTCATTCTCGATGCGCTTGACAGAAATGGCTTGGATCTCCTCCGGAGACAGAAATGTAAAGTCGACAGCATCGACCTCGGAAGATATGGGTTGCGCGATATTCATCTTGGCGACAGGCCAGAGGTTATGGCCGTTGACATCCCAGGTTCAGCAAGAAGCGATGGCCATGTGGTTGAATGTTAACTTAGCGAGCTATCTCGTCTGTAACTTTTTTTTTTTGGGCGGTGGTGTGCGGCAGAATCTCACCGGCTGCTTTTTTGCTACCATGGGCTAGTCCAAAAACAGTACGGTGCCGACCGACTCCCAGTTCAACGTTTGAAGTACTACATAAGTGCCCAGGCCATCAATTGATCTATGCGTCCCATCACATGATCGTCTGTTTAGCGGATTTTCGATATCTGAGTTTTTTTTTTTTTTAACTCAAGGGCTTTACTGAGCTTCAAACCGCTCAATCGCTCCCTTGGACGTCACAGCAGCCATCGATTCTTATTCTAGCCAGCTACGGAAGAATTGACTGATCCATACAGTGTTGTTCATTTCGCAAACACTGTTTAATGATCCACCAGACAATTGATTCTTTACTGCTCTCGAAGCTTTTGATCTGTCGGACCTTCATCTGGTATTCCCTTCGATCCACTTTCGCCTCGTATGTAAGGTTTATGACACTCTCTATGATAGACCCTTACTAACAGTGACCAAGGCTGCTTGTTCAGCGAGCAACAAGGAGAATTGCGTACAACTTCCTACTGGCCCGAACGGCTTTTCATCGTCGCAGGTTAACGAATGAGATTAACAGACCTCTGAATTGCGACGAGAGCCCCGATTGTTCCGAGAGAAAGGAGCTCTTTGAAACACTGCTGCTGTTGAGCAATCATGAAACAAATGACTGTTGGCGCCCCCCGAAAACTAACAGCCTCTGGTTTCTTTGAAGCCGGTGATGTGATTTCGACGAACAAGTAGCGTTGTTACCTACCAACTGAAATTCTTGTTGGCATCCAATGTCTTTTGCCGGTATTCTCATTTTTCATTTCATCCTTTTAATTCTTGTACTGAGAAATCCTGTTGGGTTAGTCCACGTCCATGTGTCTCGGGTTGATTCCCCCTGTGAGATAGTTGATACCTTGTGTTATCCACAGGCTCGGGTTGACTCCCCCTGTGAGTTAGTTGGTGTATTGTGTTATTTATAGGCTATAGGTGACGTAACGCCATAATCGACACACAGGGGGAGTCAACCTAAGCCTATGAATAACGTAATACACCAACTAACTCATAGGGGGAGTCAACCCGAGCCTGTGGATAACACAAGGTATTAACTATCCTGCAGGAGGAATCAACCCAAGCCTGCGGATAACGCAAGGTGTGACAAGGACTTAATTCAATAATAATCTCCAAGGGTCTCTAAGGTCTTGAGTTGCTACGAGAAAGGAAGAGAAGGGTGGCCGCCTTATATACATGAAAGGAACGCCCGGGCCTAGGGTCCTTGCCCGGGCACGTGTTCCATCTGTGTAACTAATAATTCCTGTATCGGCGAAGCCCCTTTGATGGACTTCACTATCTGTTGGGCCTTTTCCGTGTAACACAAGGTATTAACCAACTCACAGGGGGAGTCAACGTAAGCCTATAAATAATCTAACATCTCAGCCCACAATGCCAAATCTAACCGCCAAGCTGCCAAAGGAACCTCGCCTACCCCCTAAAAGGAATCAAGGAGTACCCAGAGTCCAATTTAAGGACCTAGTATCAACAGATAATACTAGAAAATCTAGTACAGGTATTACCAAACCCTAGCTGGTTACAAAACACCAGCACCTCCCATCAGAAGCTATAGGAGGCCTACGCCCACAGAGTCAAACCCACAATACTACTAAAAAAAACTGCTCTGCTTTGCCCTATCCGTACTCTCTACTGTAGAGATCTCCAGGGAACCTAAAATATACCGACAAGCAAAAGAATCCCCTAAATGGGAAGACTGGAGAAAGGCTCGCTACCGCTCATTGTGAGGGAAGTAGGGCTGGCAATTCATCTCTCGCCTTTCTACACTTCGTGAGCCTACGTCATGTTATTACTCCTATCGGTATCGGTTTTGGTTTTAAAAAGAGTCCATCTTTGTATGTCAGCTCCACACCATTTTTGATCTTTCAGATGCAAGGCCTTGAACGCAGCACTAAACTCAGAATTCGCAACAATCAAGTACACAAATTTGGAACTTGAGCGTGGCAGGATATTAAATTCATTCATCCCAGCTTGCCCGCAGCATAATAACGAGTTATTGTTTGTTGCATCGACATTGATAGAACCTTGCGCTTGCGATTGAGGCATCCATTCCAACCGCTCTCTCACTAGATTCCGTTTCCAGGCTCAACAACTGAGAGGGGGATTTACGAGCCTCAATTCCAGGAAGTGCTGGGATTGTTGGGCTCACTGGACCTAGATGAATATTTTCCTATTTCTAACCAGCTGTATTCCTGGCCTCTGCTTCCTCACAAGCCACTTGCCAGTCAATCGTCAGCAGGTAACCGTACTCGACCAAAGATACGCTGAGCCAACTGTCAGTAACATGATTTAGCAACACGTCGTATAACTCACACCATGAGCCCAGCTGCTATACCGCCCCAAAGACCTGCCAACTTCCAAGAGTACTGAAATCCCAAAATCAGGCACAACGGGAGCGAGACTAGGTAATGTCCAATTAGGTTGACAGGCCCGCCAATGGATTGCTTGCCTATGCCGCGTAGCAACCCATGAGCGCCGGTACAGAGGCTATCGAAGAATTGTTCAAGAGCCACAAGAGGCATGGCTTGAGCAGTAAGCATAATGACGCTTGCGTCCCGGGTCAGGAGGAGCGGAATCTGATATCGCAGTATAATATATATCGAGAAGTTCAGAACGCTCATAAGGAACGCAGCAATAGCGGCCTACATCTGAGTTAGTCCGCTGCTGGGAAAGCTTCCTGCGAAAAGTGTGAATTGGGACATCAACCGACCACCTTGGCCGCAGCCTTTGCAGCATCGACAAGACCGGCCCCTATTAAATTGGCGACTCGGGTAGAGGCCGCAACCGAAATTGCAAAGGGCACATGGTAGATGAGAGTCGTGACAGAAACCAGAATGCTCTGCGCCGCTAGATAATCAGTTCCGAATCGACTAGAAAGGAAGGTTATTATGTCAAAGATGAGCCATTCTGCCGCCACCATGACCATGCCAGGCAATGCCAGGAAGATCATGGGCCGCCAGTTGGAGAAGGCCTTCAGACTGAGCCCTCCCCAGCATTGATACCCGTTAACCAGTTTAATGTAAAGGATGAGGAGAAGAGCCAAAAGATTCCTGGAGAGTGCCACGGCTATTGGCGCACCCACAAAGCCCAGTTCAAGCTTCCAAACAAGCAGCCAGTTTAAAAAGATATTAATAGGAGCCAATACAAGGAGAACATAGGTAGTTTGCCTAAACAGGCCCTGCGCTTGAAGCAGTCTCTTGGCAGCTTCAAAAAGAACAATACCCGGCAAGGCAGATATCATTACCTTTAGATATAAACTAGCTAGGCGAGCCGATTCGCCATCGTCAATAATTCGCAGGAGGATTCCTTCGGAACAAGCCCACAGCGCCGCCACCGGCAGCGACAGGAACGAAAGAAACATAACCATGCGCTGACACTGGATGCCAACAAGATGATTGCGTCCATCTCCATATGCTTGAGCGCACAGGGTATCCAAACTCGTCGCCAGCCCCATGAATGGCGCCAAGCAGGTGACGCCCGTCGTCATGTTTGCCACTGGGAAGCAAATTCAATGTCATCCAATAAATACTTTTGAGCTATAAGGGGAAAACGTGAAGAACTCACAAGCAACAGCCCCCAGCTCTACCTTGCCGATTCTGCCGGCAGAAAATACACTGGCGACATTTATTGAATATTGCAGAACGAATGTGACGAGCAGAGACGCAGACGACGAGGCAATGTACTTGGCCTCCGTCTTCCATGTGAAGCACACGCCCCCAGACGGCGTGGCCTCGACGACTGCTTCCGCTCGAAGCTCGTCGGTAGTCTCCCAGACCACTGCTTGGTATTGACCAATATCATCAACCTTGATCAAAAGCGGAGACGACTCTGAGAGCACATGAGGCAGACAAGTGTCGTCCTCGTCACTCTTTGGCAGGCCGGCGGGAACATGGTTGGGAGCTCGATGGTTTTCCTGTCCCGCTGTCTGCCGACTATCCATCTTATGGGCAGATGGACGGAGTCGAATTTGGTCACCGTGAAAAGAAAAGGATGAGATTTTTGGAGGAGTGAGAGCCGGGAGTCAGCCTCCTCTGATGTCTGCCGGCTTCTCAACCTACTGTTTAAGAATAGGGAGGGTGCCCTCGTCATCTGAATAGCCGGAGAAGTAAGGTGCAAGGTGAGCGGGACAAGAGACACAAGATCGGGTTACACGTTTATCGCGCATCACTTGATCACTCTGCGTTGTCAAATATTGAATTATGCAAGAGATGAGATTCGGCACCGGCTATTAGTGGTGCGCGCCGGCGATGTCTCAGTGTCTGGTGGCACCATGCAGCTTATATTGTCCAAGTGCATATATATGCCCACCAGCCGACTTTCGTCATTCTTCATTTCGGAGGACTTATTCCGGAAGCAGAAAACCCACTCTGACGGCCCAGTTGCACAGACGGCAGAGGCGCCTTTGGTGCTTGTTGTACTTGACTCTTTCTTTTGCCCCAGGTCAAAACCAGTGTCTTATAGGTCGACTGCTTAATATGCGCAAGGTTGTCTTGAAAGAGCAGCTTCACCTTCAACTCGACCGGATGTTGAGCCCTGACATGCGATCTCAAGGAGTAGTTTCTGCAACTTACCCTGAGGATTGACTGTTGAGCATTGGATATCCTGAATACAGCCGAGATCTTTGCTATCTACAACTGATCACAGTACTTCCAATTACCGAGGTCCGAAAATGAAGTCAATGCGTACACCTGTGTGTCTTGAAGCAGATCATTCTCGTCTATAGGCATCATTTATAACGGGCAGTGTCCAGATTTCCTTGGACATCTGGTGCGTGGACAGCGCCACGGGAGTATGCTAGTGTCCACACATCTAAATGCCCTTCGATAGGCTTTTATATTCCCAATGAACATTGATATTTCATGAGCAGAGTGACCTGGAAAGCCCTCATTGCGGCCTCGGCCACGCGTACCTACTCTGGACTGTAAGAAGGCGACTGCGGGCGAGAAGCCCAGGCCAGCCTATTACCGGCCTTAACATCGGCTTATGCAAACATGTTCAAGATCAATTGCCATATAGACACTCCATTGCTGCCAACCTCGATCGTCCCGCCAAAAAGCTCTTGTCGGAGAAAGGAGGACACCCTGGTAGCACAGCAATTCACCACATAGGCGCTGGCAACTCCGCACTTCCGGCCAGATCGGTTATTGACTGCAGCCGACACGAGACAGTTGGGCAGCACGAAAATGTGACTGGCTGAGGCATTCTCTTTTCCCTACTAGTTCGATAGTCGGCCATGCAGCCGCAGCCCAAAGTATGAAGGCTAACATTGAATGTACGGAGTACGGAGTACTCCGTAGTGTTTCTCTTCTCCCGGAGAAATGCTGCCCTCTTCGCTGGCGGTTGACCAGCTTGTCGCACAGTCCATGGCCGTAAGGCCTGTCGACATGTCTCGGGCAAATAAATTGAATGTCTCATTTCGTTTCGTGCACTGTATTTCCTGTTGTAGCGACGTGCATCAAGCTGAGTCATTATAACGCGCTTTTTCGCTGCATATTTGGCACCACTTGAATTATGTGTCTTGCGCATTTTTGTTAAGCCGATCTAGAAACATTTTAGGTGATGTATGTCTATTCCGTAGTGGTCCAAGATTCAAGTATGCCACACGGCAAGGGGACCTGGGCAAAGGTATCGTCCACAAAGCTTACACAACAACAACATTAAAGGGAAGGAAGATATCACGAGAGCCGGAAACGAGCCTTGAGCGAGGGCTGCCTCAGGCACTAGCCCTCACTGACTTCTTGTATTTATAGACACCTCCGGTCCCTGATGGTCTTCGAAAAACCGAGGACCTTTGATACCTTATAGTCGATTATTGAATTGAATTCGAACGCCGTCTTAAGCCCAGATACCCTGCCCTTGTCGAGTGCGACAAGGGAAGGGTATCTGGGCTCAGAACGTAGTGTTCTATTCAGACTATAATAATCGACTTTAGGATATCAAAGGTCCTTGGTTTTGCACAAGTTTAGGAGGGCCAGAAGGCCCCTATAAATACAAGAAGTCGGTGAGGGCTTGTGCCTGAGGCAACCCTCGCTGAAGACCGACTTCGGGCCTCGTGACCCTTGCCTTTGTTGTTGTGTAACCTCAATTTATTGGCCCAACGCCCTTTGTTGTGTGCCAACCGTGTAACACAAGTAGCAGTCCTAGTGTCGCCCCAGGACAACAGCTTGCGTACAGTTCTCAGAACCACCAGATAATATTTGGATTTGATTAAATCATGATTCGGCATCTGTACTTGTATATCCTGGAAATTTGTAGTCGGTGAGAAATTAAAATATGCCGCGTGGGGGTCAGATTTGATGGCTTCGGCCAATGTCAGCAAGTGTACAACCATGAGAAGAGCAGTTGACAGACCTAGGAACACTACCACCAGCGTATAAAGTTGCAAAGGCTATGACGCTCCAAGAACACGAGCAAGGTCCAAGTTCTGGTCTCTGTTAGCGGTAAAGATGTCAACTAAACTGAGTCATCTTCTCGGGCCGGGCCGGGCGATGACACACACCGTCGCTCGGGACAATCAAGACGGCCATTACTTGGGATGGCATGAAACAAGTCCAATCCCGCGATCCGGTCTCAAACCTTATCGGGGATTATATTTTTCACGGTTTCAGCATGCCTTTGCATGGGCCGCTAACACGAGTCACCACATCACTGCCAGAGTGCCGCCAACAGGCATGCAATGACCTCCAAAGAGCCCCAATGGTCTATATCTCGGTGTCAAGTGGTTTTTGAAAATTGAAACACGATCCGTCATAATTGCCCGCTATCATGGTGCGAGGGCTTTGCGGATTTGCGTCCGCTCGAAGCGCGTGCCGCGGTCCACGCCTTGAAGGGCTGATCATCTCCGACACCAGTGGAACGGGCGCCTATATCGTGGCAGCAAATCAAGAAAAAGGTTTTCGGATATCCAGCCAACTACATGCTCATCTTCAAAGTTGCACGAACCACGTTCAGTCACGCTAAATCAAAGACATCGCCCAGTTCCCGCAAAAGTTCACCACAGGTCAAGCCAATTTGCCAAAACCACAAAAGTCTATGCTCTATTCATCCATTTTGACTGAAGAAAAAAACGCTCTTCGGGCAGAGATATACAATGAAGCCAAAAAACTACAAGTCTCCCATAATCATGATTCTTCGCCAGGCGATGCGACTACACCAAGTTTCCACGAACCACCCAAGCAAACGCAGCTCAAGAATTTCTCAAAAGCAGCAGAGCTAGTCATGGCCAGCCATGAATTCCCAGACTTGTCAGTCCTCGCACCAACAATGGAAACAAAAAACACCGAAAATTGTGTCCAGTCATTCGTAGATGTTTACATGGCCCATCCGTTAGGCTTCTTCCACTCGACCTTGAATCATTCATTAGACGCAGCTCAAAAACGAGGAAATGGAACCACTTACACAATCCGAGCTGACGTTCCTCAGGTCGGGAATGCCCAGGTTTCCAGCGTCAATAGCTATCTCGTGCTTCATAATCTGGATGACCTTTTCCACACCTGCCTGGCCGTAAATGTTGGAATACATAAACGGGCGACCCAGGCCGACGGCCTTGACACCAAGAGACAGGAGCATGATGGCGTCGACGCCGTAGCGGATGCCGCCGTCGGCGAGCACCTCGATCTCCTGGAACATCTTCGGGTCCTTTTCGTACATCTCGAGCGCGACCTCGAGGGCGGACGGGGACCCGTCGAGCTGTCGGCCGCCGTGGTTGGACAGGATAATGGCCGGGACCTTGCGCTTGATGGCCTCCTCGGCGTCTTCGACGGTCATGATGCCCTTGAGAATGATGGGCAGCTTGGTCTGGTTTCTGAGCTGCTCGTAAAAGGTCCACTACAACGGTTCTTGTTAGCTGCACGTTGCGCTTTCTACACTCGGCGCCGGGGGCCACGCTTCAACTAGACTCTACTTACGCTAAAGGCAGAATACGACGAGTCTCTATTGGCCATGGTTAGAATATGTGACGAGCAGGGCGCCGAATGCGCACCCTTAGTAAAGGGTTTACTTACGCGGAGCCTACTCCGAATCTTGCCGCGCGGTGTCGGTTTCCGTCTGCTGCAGAGTCGACCGTGAAAATAATGGCCTTTGCACCGGCCTTTTCGGTCCTTTCAAAGAGCTCCTTGTTGAAGGTTTCATTGGATTCCAGGTACAGCTGGCGGAGATGCATGGTTAGTATCAGAATGGGGGAAACTGGGCAGAATGTCCAAACATACCTGCTGGAACAGGACCTGGCCTGGTTTCTTGGCAGCAGCAATATCCTCAATCGAACGCTGTGCGAACAATGCAGGCTGTTTTGGGGAGATGGACAATCAGCACATGTCTTGATTTACCAGAACATGATGGGCAATGGCATCTGTACCATGTAAAGAATGTTGCCGGCGGCAGCGCCCTTGACAAAGTTGATTTCAGCATCGGCGTGTGCGTAATCTGCTCGTGCGCAGGGGCTAATGAAGAAGGGCGCGGAAAAGTTGTGGCCCAGGATGGTAGTTCTACGGTTATTATATCAGATGGTGGTTCTCTTTGGTTTGGGTGTCTTCTACGCGACAACGTACGAAAGAGTAGACTCAATGTTGGAAATATCTACCAGCACCCGTGGGCGAAGACGGTAACGGCGGTAAACCTCGAGGTTGTTGCGATAAGAGTACTCTCCGGCGGCGCCATTGCGGTAGTAGGTGAAGTTTCTGGTGGGCAAGTACTTTCTGGCGACGTATTCAAAGTCGGGCAGGCCGACGATGGCCTTGATGTCAGGCAGGGTGCCGTTGGACGAGCACTTTAGTATATCTTCAATGCCAGTGTCTGGCTCGTTGAGGAATGGCCGGGCTGCAAGGGCACTCGAGGCCAAGAGGGATACAACTCCGGCTTGGATACGCATCTTGGGCGGTGGTCGGAAACAAAGGGCACGGCGGGGGAGGAGGAACAAACTTTGAAACTCAAAAGACTAGTACTCGCCGTAACTCTTGGGGTTGTATTGCAGTCACCAACACTACGGACGATGCGTATATACGTATATATAGAGAGAGCCGGCTTGAGGCTCGAGTCATGGGTACGGAGCCTGATTATCAATGCGCAGCGGCATGGCCCCAGGGCGCCGAGCAGTACGCGTACTAGCTGGCCGTGTGATTTAGTCAGCCTGCATCTTGCCCTTGATTGATGCTTCATGACAAAACTGGCTCGGTGGAGAGAGAGCGTGCCCTGGTGATGTGCCGAGGGTGGCTCTGTAGATCGGCGCGGCCGGTTTAGGAAGCTGGAGCCAGTCAGCGCGGGTTCCGAGACGCCAGGCACCAGACCACTGGGCCTTTATGCGCTTAGTTTTATGCATTTTTCATGCTGGATCAGATCGACTTGATTGCAGTGCCGCCGTCATGCGCAAGGATCTATGTGGCCCGAAACATGACGCGTGGAAATTACAGGGCTGCGTGGAGGACTCTGGCCAAGCCCACCGTTGACACCAAGAGACTGCAGCACTGCAGCAGGATTGACATCTGGATAATGTTAATACAGTATAACCCCTGTTTGATATTTATTTGGCCGGGGATTTGCTGCATGACGCAAGATGCCCGCGTCTGTCGCACATCAAACCGCAACCACGTTGTTTGCATAAGATGGCCCCGGGGAGCGGACAAGATGACAAGAGCTAAAACGTGCCCTTGGTCACTCCCGTCCAACTAGTATTGCTTTCCCGTCGGTTGGGCGCGGGCTGAGATGGTCTTGATGTCGACTTGGCAGCGCCATGACGCAGTCGGCGGGGAGCATGAGCATGATGAGGCTGAAGGCAAGACTTGGCGTCCCTTTTCCAGGGATGATGGGATGCCGGGCGCCGAGCGGGATCTTGGTGGAGGCCGCGCACCACTTTGGAGGCTTCGTCTCGTCTTTGCTTTCGCATTCCGTAGGCCGTCGCTAATGATGATACATGTCTGGTATATATTGATCAGATAAGAGTCGGGTCGGTGGGCGACTGGCAAACTAGCCACGACGAGAGCAGAAATGGGCGTGCAGAAAATCTACCAAAGCGGGCCTTGTACGGAGTAAAAAGGTCAACTTTGCCAAGACTGACTCATGTAAGCCAAAAAGATCTCGCCCACCGCCTACCTTTTTGCTTGAACGACTCTGCCAAAAGTGGAGGCCTCACACAATTCTTCTGTTTTTCCTTTCAACACTTTCCCATTGCTCCACCTTCACTCGATGATGGAGGCGGCTTCTTTATTCCATGTTGAACTGTCCACCGATTGGCCAAGCTCCGCGGCCAAGTTCAGTCTGGCACGTCACCTGCCCAAGATAAATAAATGCGCTATATGTCGTCCAATTCCAACATCGAACCAGCATATAATCCAAATCGTAGGGGGCGCAGTATCCGTCAACTGCGGCATGTAGCTCCAGGATGGGCAAAGCCAAGACACAACAAGGATTTCACTCACAAATACTGAACAGCAGTTTAGGCAACATCCCAAACGCTTCCACGCGGCAGACCAGCGGTACTCGATGTCGAAAGTTTGGACGCGTGAAAAAACATATTGACTGGGTACAAATATATATTGACAGCTAGCAGTATACAACAAGAACAAAGAGAAGGCGTATCAAGCCAAGTTTGCAACAGCTCCAAGTCGCAAGTCGCATCCCCCGTATATCCATGTCCGTATCTACCCAAATATCTAGCCCGAGACGGCAAAGCAAACCCTACCACCACTTTTTGGAAGCGTCACGAGCAACATTGGTGGCGCAGTGAACCTCGCCAGCGTGGGCGTGGTGGTCAAACCAATCATCAATATACGTAATATTGAAGCCATACTTGGCATACTCTTTATTCGCCGCCGCCGCAAGGATATCGGATCCGTCAATGACCGGCCCCCACGGATTAGGCGCCAAGTACTGGCCGTTGTTGAACACGACGCCGTTGATAACGGCAGGATGAAAGGCAACGAGCAGGTCCTCGGGCTTCGCGGCCTGGCGGCGGTCCAGCCGAGCCTCCCCGTCTTCCTCCCCAAACGCGGGCATGAGACCCTCGCGCTCGCTCCTCTTGCGGTCCCTCTCCTTCCCCCACTGGCGTCTGAGGTCGTCCCATCCCTTTCCATGCACGTAGTACAGTGCGGGGATGCGAATAATGTCGGCGTCCGTGATGCCCGTCTCCCTCTTCATGATTTCAATGTTGGCCTGGATTCTCGCAGCGGCAAGCAGGTTCCTCTCCTCAAACTTCCAACGTCGAAGCACACCGTCAATGGTATCAGAGGGCAGATACGAGAATTGGGTGCTAAACGTCAAAAATTCAATATCGTGGAGCATGTGAGGACGGGACATGGCTTGCGTCGCGCCGTGGCCCTCCTGTTGGGCCTTTTTGAAGAGGTCCAGAGCAAGCTTGGGGTCGTCGACAACCATGACCCAGCCGCGTTCATTGTTCGCCGGCAAGAACTGCATGAACTCGTCCGTGTGGCCGACTCGTAGCCAGTCGGTATCGATTTCGATCGGAGGCTGGACCTCTTGGGCCTCGAGAAACGCAACCATGTGCGGCTTCGTGCCGAGCTTGCTGCCCATGACGGCCCGTCCATTCGGATAGTGTTTCCCATTGTGGCTGTGAGGAGGGACAGTCTCGAGGTTTCCCAGCGAGTCGATGCCCCATAGGGGACCGTCGACCACCGGGGGGAGATGCTGGACTGCGGCGACGGACGCAGATCGCAATTGTTTGTAAACGTTTCGGCCACTCACGTCGCGTTGATTTATTTGGCTGCTTCTGATGAGGATGCGGAGGACCACGGGACCGTCTGGGCCGGGAATGCTCGTGTACCCAGCCTCAAACATGTCCTGCGCCCAGGTATCTTTTCCCGTGTCGAACTTGGCGACGGGCGCACCGGCGTCGCTGGCGTACTTTTCCACATTCTCGATGAACTGCCTCGTACCCTGGCTGTGGCTCCTGATGGAAGCAATGTACACCTGTGTCAACTGTTGCAAGTGGTGGTGTATCAAGACGGGAGCCACGCGAAGCTGCACATTGTCGGCGGCGGACTCGCCGTTGTCAGTCAGGTTGAAGTGAACTCTAACCCTGCCATCCCATCCGCCGGGTCGGCGCACATCCCGAGCGTCAATGCCGAGCTCCAAGCCAGCACGCAGCTCAGCAGCCTGGAACACTCGGCTATCATCGACGTAGGCCCAGTCGTTGCCGGTCTTGTGGAAAATTCGGACTTTATCCTTGGCCAGGTCACCGGAAACGGTAATTCGACCCTGGGCCGCGTCGGTCAGCCCAGAATTCGGGAGTGTTTGCAGAGGAGCCAAGAATTTGGGGTTCCGTAGAACGTTATCAGAAGCATCGTTGCACTTGTCGAGATCGGCAAACGGAGTTGTTTCGGTGATTTGCTCGGAACATCGACCATCTGTATCCGCGATATTGGCCATGAATAGTGCTCCGCGCTCCTCGGTCCAGGCTTGTTTTCCTTGAGCATCCGACGTGACATCGAGCTGTCCGTCTCGGTTTGTGTCTGCTAGAATGACGGCTTCCAGGGCACGGCTGGAGGCCGCAAGGCCAAGGGCCATAACGACCGCTTTGCCAAAGGAGTGCATGACGAAAAGAAGTGCAGCCTTCGAGTATGGATGAGCTGACGAGGAAGGGAAACTCGAACGAGCTGTTGCTTGAGGTCTCTGCTAAAGGAGGTTCATTTGTTCACGGCGGATGCAGCTCCTTTATAGTCGACGAGTGCGCGTAGGAGCGGCGGTCCGCAACAAAGAGGCCTGGGGGTTTCTGACATCTGACCATGGCGAGTCAAACGCTGTCGCGATATCTGCTGATGGGACATGAATTCTCGTCGTGCCTCGACCGAAAACGCACCGATTCTGAAATTGTGAGGGCCGAGGAGTGGAGGTGGATGAGCTGCCGGTTGCTGTACGGAGTACGTATTCTCGTGATGTTGTGACATATTAATCACAATGCTAAGGGAATGAGGGAACAAGGGTTACGTCATGCCATGGTCTTATTTTGAGGCTTGGATTCATGCTTGACATAGCGGACGCGATGTATGTTGTGAATTTTACAACGATAGGTACTGACGGCGTGGAGGAGAAAGACAGACAGACGATAGGAGCCACAGTTGAACAGGGGTCCATAGAGGAAGCGTCGAGGTTACATTAGAATCGCCAACCCGGTGACATGAGCTGTGGTATGACTAGTTTCCTCGAAAATACTCCACCTCTACCTTTGTCTTGACTAGCTCTACGTTGTTTCCAGGTGTTAACCACGGTTTGTATAACATGGTAAATGTTGCATCTCCGTAGTCGAGTAATACATAGTATGTGCTCTATCATGAGCTAGCTCGATTCGCACCACGGTCGAGGTTGACAGATGAATGCAGGGCAGTCGCACGATGCTTAGATAATGCTAGAGTCAGCCATTGATTCATCAATTGATGTTATACGGAGTAGAATATAGGGGCCACTGGACGGACAGCTCCCGACGTTAAAACAGGCCGGGATGATGTAATCAATTGATCGCTTAACCAATTGATCCCCGACCACGGATTCAATATGAGTAGTCACAAAAATTACGCAAGCTCAAGCTCCACCATGGCAGTTTCCGCCCACACGGCTGAATCATTCAAGCCCGGGAATGAATAGAAAATAAACGAACTATTATTAATTTATTCCCTTGCAGTAATATATTCTGGCAGCAACCACGACATGTCTGCCGGTCAAATGAACAAACCGTCGACCCCAGCTGCCTGCCCATACACAGTGCGGAAATTATCAGACCACGCAGGTTCCTCATCTGCTGAATGCTGCAGTGGAACACGCATGATTCAGACGTGAAGAAATAATGGCCCGGTGCTATAAGATACATCACAGCCGGGCTAGGATATGTATCAAAGGTGCAGGCTGGACCCTGTGCGTGAAATG